TCTATTCTATTCTATTCTATTCTATTCTATTCTATTCTATTCTATTCCCAAGGAACACTGATATACTGTTCTGACTCAGGCTTAGCAGAATCAAGAAACAGACTCCTTGTCCCGAAAAATACCTCTTTATTAGTTACTGTGAATTCATGGAATTTACACACAGAAAAATCCTGACAATAATCCTTCCAAGAACAGACCTTATCAGTCCTTGGATAATTGCCAGGTTGAGAGCTTCCAGTTACAAAGCTATAAATTAATTCCTAGCAAGGAGTCTCCAAGGCACGAACTACAATAAGCAAATCTTCATAATAATAAGCGAACTAATTGTCTCCTGCAACCACCACTCCCCTTTTGCTTCTATTTATTCCCCATGGGAGGGACATTCAGTGTCCCTGTGTGCCTTTCCTTCTGAGTTGGCCCCTGTTCCTTAGTTGTTCTCTTCTCCTAACAGCTCTTTTTTGGCATATTTCAAGAGTATTTATTCCAAAGTATATTTATACTTTCTTTGGAATAATTTGACTGGTTGCTTCACTTTTCCTTTACAACTGATCACATACGTTACAGCAGCCATTCTGCCAGCTGAAGAACAGAACTGACATGGGTAAGGAAGAATTTCAGATTTTCAGAAACAGCAACATTATTGTATTAGTCTACCCAGTAAGATAAAGATATTTCATACTTAAGGCATTCAAAGATTAAACTGAATTGTTGGTTGTTGTTGAGATTTCCAGGGTGGGATGACTTGATAATTTGTGAATGTTTCCATTAAAAGCTACAGAGAAATTGATACATAAAATGCAGCCCTATGTGTATTGTATGTGGTATCTGAAGACACAAATTGCATTGGGAGACTAGAGATTTCAGCAGCTCCAATGTGCCATGAGATCATGGACAGAGATTTCTCATGTAATAAGAAAAAAGGATAAAAAGAATTATTACTCTTACTACTCTTAGAAAAGAAAAATAATTTTCTCATTTATGCATTCTTGATTTATTATATCCCAGCCTATATCATTCTGATAAATTGATGTAATAAATTATACAGGTCCCTCTCCCCTCCATGCTTGTACATTTATTTTTGAATGTAAAATTGATAAAAGCAAAAAAGGCGAATTCCTTCCATTCCTGGTGTTTTCTCAGCACCATTTCTCAGCACCTTTTGATATTGCCTGCTGGTTTGTTTGTTTGTTTTTCTTGTACTGGTGTTGTGTTGTATTGTAGCATAGCGTATTGTAGTTGGATTATTTTCCAGTCCAGCCATGGAAAATTTCTTTCTGTCTCCAAGTTGTTTTCCATCAAATCACAATTCAGGGCCTTGAAGAAATTTAAACAGCGAGACAGGTCACCATCTACTTCACTTTAGAAGTTGTGTCCAGTGAGAAAGAACCCATAGCTGTGGACTGCAATGTTGTCACAGCATGTAGTGGCAGGGCAGGCTCCTCCTTCTATGGAAGAAACTATGCTGCCCCTACTAACAGCAGTAAACCATCTGTCTCATTGAACAGTAATCAGATTCAGTTACGCTTATATAAAACGCTGGAAAATGCCTTTCCTCCCACTTTTGTAAGAGTACAAATGGTGCTGCCAAAGTGTGGGAATGGAGATGGGTCTGGAATAATTAGTTGTGAATTAATATGCATAGTGCGTACAGTGTACAGTATGTGGAAGAGAATTAACTGAGAGTTACACTCTGTTTCCAAGTACAAGTTTCAAATGTTTTCAAATATTGTATGTTTCTCTTTGTGAAACATCCTTTGCTTTTTACAAACAATCTTAGGGGTGATGATAGCAGACAGCATAGAGACAAGCTAAATATTGCTTAACAGAATCACTTATATGGACTCCAAAATTGAAAGCATACATTTGAAACCATGTTAATTTGTTCAGAATGGCCGCAATCTGTTCCTTGTAGGGGGAAATGCCCATATGGAGCCACTAGATGGTGATACAGTGTCAGTTAAAACTAATGGAGGCATAGTAGGGAAAAACAGCCAATAAAAGTGACTTTAATCAGGTCAAGATGTATTTGCACATTTCCCTCTGCGTTGCATCTAATTGTTTCTAAATATGGATTGTGCTTCATAGGGGAATCTTTGAATACATAGAGGAACCTTATCCTCTAGGGCTTGCATATTTAAATATTTTTGATCATATATCAAATTTTAAAAAACTTTATTGCAGGGAGATAAAGTTTGAATGAATCTAGCAGGATTGCAACTCCCCCTTAGTGCAGCCAGTTCATAGTGATGCCCGGGCTAGTGTAACTAATGTTTCGGACTGTTCATTGTTGCTAGTCAAGGAATTAGATCTGGTCCTGTAAAATGAGAAGGTATTAAGTAAGTTGACTCCAAACTATTAATATTGTTTTAGCAGGCCCAGTGCTCACCCAACAAAGTGGTGATCATGATCTTAAAAATAGAATTAAATGAATTAATGAAAACAAAAACAAAAACAAATCCATTAGTGGCTACTTCCAGAACAGCATAGTTTTAAAATACATACATACCATGCATATTTATTTATTACTCAAATTTATACCCAAGGATACAAGGAAACTATTTATTGCTTAAGGCCAATTCAGTCATAACCAACTCTAGTAGCAAATTACCCCACTTTGGTAACAAAACTTAACACAACATGCAACAATATTAATGATCAACCTCCTAAGTCATGACTGAAATGGTCGCCATGTGCAGGATGTCATTTCCATTTTAATCCCTACAAGCTTTCTTGATATCATTCCTGAATTCCAAAAAGTTTGTAGCCACTCAACCTTCAAGGGGAATTCTGTTCCATAGGGAAAGGGAGGACCAGAGAGGGCCTGGGTTCAAGTCTTCTGAGGGTGACTCTTTCTCAGGGTAGGCAATTAAATAGACAGATACTGCTTGGAGCAGGAAAACCTAAAGCAGGCAGGTTTCATGTTACCTATACATTGCCACTATAGAAACATCACATTGGTGTCTGATCTCAGCAATTTTTATAGCTACTCAGTCCTTTGTATTTGCCTGATGCATTTATCCTAAAAAAAATGGATGCTTCTTTTTGGCTACTATTTCCTTGATTCCTGATATTCCTAAAGTTGCATGGAAGTTCTCGTCTGTGTGATTTCCTTCCAAGCCTTTTGCAAGCAGGACGATTCCTGAATACAGTAACTCTAGTGTTCTCGCTATATGTTATGCTCCCCGATGTCATGTTTAGTCTGCAAGCTTATTTTATTAGAGTAAACCTTTGCAACTGAAGTCAGAGGTTTTCAGAGTAGCAGTACAGAGAAATAACAAACACGTTTTGACATCAAACAATTATGGTAGTCCCTGTTATTTAATCCTCATGACTGCCCATCTCACTCCTCTTCTTTCATGGAATAACAATGTATTTTTCTTTTCCAAATATTTGGGATTACATAAAGTACTTTATATTCCTCTTGAATAAACATCTCTTATATCAACATGATTGGAGGGATGGTGAAAATTTGTGAAAAGTTTTGTTTTGGGTTTCTCTCTACATTTGAAACAACACTCAGCATAATGTTATGCATATCTAAAGCCCATTGTGACTGCTCCTACAGAAAAGTATTAGAATTGTTACAAAAGCACAGTGTTATTATATTTCATCTGTTTTATATAGCAAGAGAAGCTTTTACTCAAATGTGTTTGACAGAGTCATGAATTAATATTTAAAAGAATGGAAGAATAAATGTATAAATTTATTACAAATTTTATAAATTTATATATTGGTATTAGATTTAGCTTACGTATATTTATAAAATGTTTTGTTCAACTTTTTCTAACTAATTGCCTTCTGGTGTTTTTAGGATTCCACAAGGTAATGGAAGGAATTCACAAAGCTCTTGAACTTGGCTATAATCCTGTTAAGGTGAGAATATTCCTTACTAGTAATGTAGAACTACATAGTATTCATCTTATTACACCAAAGTACAAATTTCAGGCTGTAGACAAGAGTTTGCCTGCAATACTGCATTCTGACCATTTTGCTACCATTGTGCAAATTTAGTTTTGGCATACTTATGTCACATCTTATATGATACTTTAAATTATTTATTATTTAAATCAACACAAAATGCTTATTTTTTTTCATATTTCACCATTCCAGACTAAAAATAGTGAAGGCTAGAAGCCTAAAGTTTCTGCTGATTAGGGAATGACCATGATCTCCAAAGGCATTTGGAGATCCTCAAATTAGGAACAGTGGTATAATACCTTAACCCCAATAGTTAGTTTCGGAAGTAATTCCCCAATACACATTTTTCTTTAGCTATCCCATAATTTTAAAAAAATCCCATAAAGGAAAGATCGGGAATAATTGTCTGCTCAATAACAGAGAGCACATTATCTGGATGCGCTCATTATGCTGCTGTTCAGATGAAATGGCCTTGGATCACTTATTGTACTCATTCACTCACTTTTTCTTTTAGGTGAATTGTGTGATTATGAGAGGACTCAATGAAGATGAGCTGCTGGATTTTGTTTCTTTTACAGAAAAGCAGCCCCTGGATGTGCGCTTTATAGAATATATGCCTTTTGATGGTGAGTTCTTGAGATTACACTTGGCTTCAAAGACGGAGTAAATGGAGTTGGCAGATTCCCATCCCTTCCAAAGATGGCAATGGAATGTCAACTTAGAGGTGTCTTCAGCCTCTGTGGCCTATAGGGGAATCTCTTTGGAAAGAGACAATACCGAAGTATTGGCATTGCTGGTATTTTTTATTATTGAAGTTGTTTGTCTCCAATCGTACAGTTTCATGGCAGCAAAACACAAGTAGTGTATTCCAGGTATTCCTACCTTTATATATTAAGTTTTACTAATAATATTATTATTTTTTTGCTACACAAACCATGTTAAAAACATAAGGAATTGCATTGGAATGGGATTTTCACAGACTTCTGCTTCTTCCACTGCAACCACTGTTTTTAACTGCCTACCACCATCTTAACCATTGTCTAGTCACACAGCACTCTGTTGCCCAGGACGACAACATGCTATAGTTAAAAACATACCTTTTGTATTATAAACTTAAATCCTTCCCACAGCCAATACCAGCCTTATTTGACCAATAACGTTTGTTTCCTTCTTACTCTAGGTAACAAGTGGGACTTCAAGAAAATGGTGAGCTACAAGGAAATGCTGGATACAATTAAACAGAAATGGCCAGATTTGAAAAAGTTACCCTGTGAAGAAGCTTCTAGCACTGCCAAGGTGAATATTAACATGATCAAGGATCAGTAATAAGAGATAATAATTCTTGGTCTGCTACTTCATTGCTATAGTTTGATTAGTTATCGGGATGTGGGGGGAGAGAGATGGTGCAAATTCTATAGTCCTACTAGAACATGCATATAAAGGTCTACTTTTGACAATTATGCTACTCAAGATACTGTGCCTACTTATCATTTAATTTTTAAACTTATATGCCATCCATCTCACCTAAAAATGAATTTAGGGGGCTTACTGTAAGATAAAAACAACAATGTAAAACATTAAAATATTAAAATAATAAGTATTAATATTAAAAAGACAGATAAAGGGAGCTAAAGTAAGGGAGCAAGTTAAAACAGGGTGACGGTAGTATCATCTGTCAGTCCATTAACCACCTCCAGTATGACATGTTCACATTGGGGTCTCAGGCAGAGCCAGGATTTAACACCCTGCAGAAGGCCAAGAGGATTGGTACAGATCTTGCCTCAATGGATGCAGTGTTCCAGATGGCTGGAGCTATGGCAGAAAAGGGTCTTTTCCTAGACTCAGGGGGCAGAATTCCTTGACCAATGGAATCCTTAACACACTTGACCAATGTGGTTCATAGGACCCTAGAATGGCAACCAATGCAGTTTGCCTAACAACATGGGCCACCCTAGGGACCTCAAGAATTGTCTGGCTGAATTCCTTGAGAGCTGCAAAAATACTCTTCAAGAGTATTGGAAGTATTTTGGGAACCAAATATATTCTGACTAGAATTAATGCTTTGTAAACTGTAGTTATTTAAGTATTGCCTCCGTTTTTAGAGTAGATTTATGTTTCATTACCTTAATCATTGTCATGTAATAAATTTATATTATTATCTATTATCCATAAACTATTCTATGCTTGCTTTTTATGTAGACTATGTATGAGGTATTGTGTCTGGGAATTTTGGTCATTTTACAGTTATATCCATGACAACTGCTGTTGTGTTTATAATATAAATGTGTTCCATAATACATGTGATTTGTACATGATTTGCATAATGTTTCTAACAGAGAAGTATGCAGCACGTAAGAATTTTAAAATAGCCTTCATCTAAACACATATCATTAAAATGTTGTCATGAATTTTTCCGTCTAGCATGTTAGACCTTTGTAGAAATAAGTTTAACAGGAAATTGTTGGTAAGATAATCCTTACAATACTAGTAGTGTTTGCTCTATATCATAAAGATAATATATATCCCTACTTATTGAAGGACTAATATAATCCCAAATTCAGTAATTGATTCCCAGCATACTATTGATACATGAATATTTTTACTGGTGACTTTTTGACCTCATAGTAACATTTCATTCTGTAAAATCATTTACATACAGCTATTTTGAGTGTAAAATGGATTGAGCCTAAGATACTTCTATAAAACTCAGAAGTAGCCCATTCCATTAATCTCTGATTGAGTTTAGGCATGCTGGGGTTAACTTTGGATGCCATTGGTGAATACAGATATTAGATTAGTCTAGTCCACCCTATAAGGTTTCAGGGGGAGATTGAAATCGTTCCTGAGGATCTGATGGGTAGCTTGATGGAGCTATTGGTCACTTCCTGAAATAGATATCTGTCAAAGGAGTTGGATTGGATTGTTTCTGTGTGGCTTCTTACTGAGAGTCAATCCCAAGGAACTCTGGTTCTCTAAGAAGATGAAATGTCAAAAGTGCCATTGGAAAGAAGACAATGAATCCAACAGAACATAAGTAAAAACACATATTAGAGATTGCACAATGGTGATAAGGTTTTTATCTCAGCTGCAGATAGCTGTTCATTTTTTTTAAGATGACTAGTTCCTAGCTAGGCAGAGATGAAGTTACAGGGTAATCTGGAGAGCTTTCATCTGATAGATAAAGCTGCACAGACTTGCTTGCAATTGTCCTCTAACTGTCCAGATCCTATTGAGTTGACAAAGGCAAGGTCTTGTAGAGTTGCCTCAAATGCTTTCTGCTGCTGAAGATCCTCAAATCCACCAAACCAATTGGGGGCTCACTCCTTGGGTGGTTAAAACCACTTGGGGGATGCTGTATAGTTGGGTCTGTGCAATAATATTCGTTTTGCTGAAAGAGGGGGTGGTACAGCTTGAAGGAAGAGATGCTTCACTCCCTCTTCAAGAAGCCTTTGCTGAAGTGGACAGTCTTGGATAATTTTCATCCACTCACCAACTTTCATTTCTTGGGGAAAATTGTTGAAAAAGTGGTCATGCTGTAGCTTCAGAGAGCAAGCTGGATATGGATAATCTGGAAAATACATATTATCTATAACCTTTTATGCTTGGTTTTATACTGGGATATAATACTGAGATGATGAAGCTATCATGGTTCTCTTTGATGTCTTAGCATTTTCTAAAGTACCGTCAACCATGATATTCTTCAGGGTCATCTATAGGGATTTGGGATGGTAGATATAGTGCTCTAATAGTTATCTTTTTGTGTGTATGTAGTTGGATCCAGTCTGCCTATCCTACACATTCAGCATATGTTCTGGGTCCCACTGACTAAATAATTTTGTCTGAGGGAATCCTGAAATGGGCCTTCTTTATCAGAGCACCCACCTTCTAGAATTATATCCCCCAATAAATTTATTTAGTCCCACTCTGACCTTATTCAGGTGAACCCTTAAAATCTGACTCTTTCCTCCAGGATCTGAGCTAGAATGGATGACAAATGTTTTATAGTGATTATTAGTTCATCAGAATTTGAGTTATTTTTCTGGACATCTGCTAAATAAATTTATTTAGTCCCACTCTGACCTTATTCAGATGAACCCTTAAAATCTGACTCTTTCCTCCAGGATCTGAGCTAGAATGGATGACAAACGTTTTATAGTGATAATTAGTTCATCAGAATTTGAGTTATTTTTCTGGACATCTGCTTTTTGTATTGTTTACAATTTATTGTTTTCAATGTATACTATATGTTTCCCAGAGTCGTGATGGAGTCAGGCAGCCTATAAATTTAATTAATGCATTTAATAAATATATTTCACATTGGAGACAGCTGTTTTCTGCTTGAGGCAAGGTGTTTTGAATTTGACAAAAGTTTGAATTCAAAACATTTGTGCATCCCTAGCTTCTCCTTTCACAAACTAGAAGAAATTTTAGGAATGAAGTACAAATGATGGGATTAACTTCATTGATCTTTTTTCATTTTGCTCCCATGTTTGACTTTTAATAGGCATATAAGGTACCAAATTTTCAAGGGAAAGTTAGCTTCATCACTTCCATGTCTGAGCATTTCTGTGGATCCTGCAATCGGCTAAGGATCACAGCTGATGGGAATTTGAAGGTAACTCTATTGCTTTCACTGTTTGATCATGGAACCAGTTACTGTATTTTTCGCTCTATAAGAAGCACTTTTCCCCAAAAAACGTGGGTGGAAATGTCTGTGCATCAGTGCCGGTCATTTGATGAATAGCAGCCAGGCCATGGCGGCGCAGTCCTTTTACAGTGTGAACCCCGCCTCTTCTATCTTTGTCATTGCCTGCCTCTTCTGTCTCTTTTCCACAGTGCAGGAGTCAATAGACAGAGCTGGCACATGGGAGGACACCTATCTGTGGTCCTCTCAGGCTCCACCTGAATTTTTTTTCTTGTTTTTCTCCTCTAAACCCAGGTGCGTCTTATGGTCAGGTACATCTTATAGTGCAAAAGATAATGTATCCAGGGAAATGGGTGCCCTCACTGTATGGTTTCAAGCAAAGGCTAACACCTATCTCTCTGGAATGGTTTAATTTGGACTCCCATATTAACCAAGGAGGTACAACTTGGCAAATTATTATGATAACAATAAATTAATTATTTATTTGACATGGATGGAGCTCATAAGAAATGGGCATTGCATTCAGAACAGCATAAAAACTCTCTTGGATAAATACTATAAACAAAAGTAGTACATTATATAACAATTCTTGTTTAGTTTATTACTTGAAGCAAGCATACTTTTGCTGTTTCCTTAAATTTTGTTTTTCTTTCTTTTCTAATACATTGTATTCAAATATGAAAACTGATGGGAAGTAAATATACTTTAGTCTTTTAATTGAAATTGTCTTGTAAGTGGTAATTGGCAAGCACTATTAAATCAGACATGTGGGGTACAGACCAAGTAGTGAGATGGGAGGGGAGAGCAGGGAGAGGATGATCAATTTTCCTGTCACGTTGAAAGTTGTTATTTGTAATTAGTTCAGACTTGGTGCTTAAAAGTTCCAACTCCCACAATTGGTGACAGCAAGCATTGCATTAATATCTGTTGACACTAAGTTAGAGCAAGTTCATTAGCTTAAATGACTTACAGAGCTTGATCTTAATGTCCTTGAAATATTCAAGCCAGTACTTTGCCTCATGCTAGGAGAAGTTTGAATTAAAGCACACCAGCAGGTGGCCACACTTAGTTGATCTTTGCTGATCTCAAAACAACTAACGCAACATTGAATGTAGTATTTGGACAAGAGGACACTAGGAAATCTTGGTGCTGTTGGCTAGACTGAGATGTTTACAAAAATTAACAAAGAAAAACAGAAAGAGGCAGTGGCAAACCACTCCTGTTTTATTGCCAAAAAAATCAAAAGGCTATGCTGATATAGTTGCAAGAGTCAAGAATCCTGAAGAGTATTTGGAAGCTAAAGCTGATATAGATAGCAGCCACACGAGCAGTTCTTGGGGCACCAAGAATGGCGTATGTAACACCATTGCTCTGTGAGTTGCATTGGCTGCCAGTCTGCTTCCAGATGCAATTCAAGGTGTTGATAATCACCTTTAAAGCCCTTCATGGCATGGGTCCAGGGAGCTTGTAGGACCAACCTATCTCAATGGGATTGGCTTCTCCACCCCTTGGCATCAGAGAAGGCATGCTGTAGGCCCTGTCAGCTCAATTATTTTGGCTGGCAAGATCTAGAAGAAGGGCCTTCTCTGCCATTACCCTGTGGAACATCTTGCCCCTTGGAGTAAGGATAGCCCCATCAATCTTCCATAAGAGCCTAAAGCAGTGGTCCTCAACCCCCGATCTGTGGACTGGCCCCAGGATGTGACATGCCAGAAACCAGGCCATGCCAACAAGCGAAGCCCTGTCCAAAGGATGCAAGTATCATGTGAAACCACACCCCCTCCAGTCCACAGAAAAACCTCTTTCCATGGAACTGGTCCCTGGTGCCCAAAAGGTTGGGAGCTGCTGACCTAGCTCTGCCACTTAGCTTAGGAGCATCAATCCCACCTTCCCCATCTTTTAATTGGGCCATAGTGTTTGGATTTTGTATTATTTATGTTTTTAGGTTATACAGTTTTTATCTTTTATCATTATAAGCCACCCAGATTTACTTTAAGGTACGATGGGCAGCCTATAAATAAATGTTTCCCCAATAGCTTTAGGGGATATGAAGTAGCATGCAGTAAATCAGATATTGGTGAATAATAACATTTCTATTCTTAGTTTGAACTCAGTCATAGAAAAGTAACAGACTACTAGTACCAAGAGTAACACAATTTTTATCTTCTTTCCATAAAAGAAAGCTAGATGTCTTTACAGGTAGAACCATGTATAACATCTGTTATTTAAATTTAGAGTGCTGGACCATTGATAGTGCTTACTTTTCTTTACCTAACAGCCAGGAGATAGTTTATTATTATTAGTGATAGTAGTAGTATACTTCTGTATCTTTCAGAAAAAAATCATTGTGCAACCCATATACATACAACTTTTGTCCCAGAGGCTGCAGAACTTGAGTCCTTCCAAAAGAAGGGGAACTTTTTAATTCAACAAAAAATATTAAATTCCTAATTAAGTTCATTTATGTTAAAATAAATCTAGTTCTTGTCCTGGCTCCATTCACTTAATTGTCCAGTTCATACTCGTTTCCTAGAGGGCAGCCCTTGGGATATCAATCAAAAGCTAAATACAATCCTCAACCCAGAGAAAAACAATCCTTTTGGATAGAATGTTAGATGCAAGTCAAACATTTTAAATTCAATGCCATTCTCACCCTAAAGTTTCTGACTGTACTTGGAGGTTGGAATAGTCTGCTTCAAAGTTTGACCTCAAAATGTTTGCAGATCAGTAGAACATGCTATCATTTCCAAAGGAAACATTGCATAGGAGATATGCCCAACTTGTGAATGTTGCATGTTAGCTTCCAGTCTGTACTGACTTCTAAGTCCTCATCCTTGGAAGAACTTTGTAAAATTGAATAAACAAGCCTACATTAGTGCACACTCTTGTTGTGTTCCTGCAGTTCCCAGGGACTGTTCTCTTACTATAATGGTGTGTGGGAATGAACTTGGGAGACAGGGGAAAGTTTTATGGTTGTTTTCCATCTTCAGATGAAGTAGCGGTTGTCTGCTTGCCTCTTCAAGATAAGGATAATGGCAGCTGGCATTTTGTACAACCATTGCCAGTTATTGTAAGTTGCAAAACTGATTCATTGTTGGAGCAACCAACATTTTCTTTTGAAAGATAGTCTGGAACTAAAATGTTTTGAGAATTTAATGAACTTTTCTGTAGTGCTAAATCCATATAACCTGATGGGGAGTGAAGCGATGTCATCCTCTCAGTTCATCTTCTGTTCTTATTTCAGGTCTGCCTTTTTGGAAATTCAGAAGTGTCCTTACGGGATCACTTACGATGTAATGCCTCTGAAGAGGAGTTGATCCAGATTATTGGGACAGCTGTTGGCAGAAAGAAGAAACAACATGCAGGTATGCCATTTTGTGGAAGTTATTTTTCTCTCTCTCCCAGATGCGTAGGCAGAGCTGGATTATTAAGAATAAGCACAATACAGTGCAAACGTCTTAAAGTGAAATCAAATGTTATGATTTAAGGATGTATACAATGCTTCCAAATCAAAATTGATCAAGACTAAAACATCCCAGTTCTTGAATTCAAAATGGATTATTCTAATCTTACCGGCAGAGTTCCAGTTCTGTTCCATTTCATCCAAAAAAAGAGTTCCAGGCTCAAAATAACATTATTTTGATTCAAAAGACTGAGATCAAAACTGAGACACTCGGTAGTAACAGAAAAGCCGTTTTGTGCTTGAAACATTTTAAATTAAAAATAATTTGCACTCTACAATAGTTCTGCTGTACTTTATGCTGACAGGAATCAGGAAGTATTGATTTCCCTTTCTTGCAGTCTTCTCATGTTATCCAAATATGTTACCCTGTGTTTGTTCAGAGTTCATTTTATGGGACAGAAGGAAGGAAAAGAATCACAAACACTGCTCCTGCCAATTTTGACATGATGTTACAGCATTCCTAGGCTGTCTAAAAAAATCTAAAATAAAGAAATCTAAAAATATAAAATAAAGTTTTGCCCCTAGCCACTGAAAAATTTCCTGCCATTGTTTTACAGCATATAAGTCCTTTGATTAAGGATCATATTTGGTATATTATTTTGGGGATAAGTCCTTCAAATTATGTTATAGACTGCTGTTTTTCATTTCTTATGTGAATTGTTTTCATAGTCTGGTTTTGCTTTCTCTGTTTCCCCATTCATAAGTACCACTTCAAGAGATGATTGCTTAATACTTTGAATGCCAACATCCATACCATCACCAACATTTTTATTTTGTATTTTTGCACTATTTCCATTAATATAAAATCTGGGAGTATTAATAATTTTTGCATGTTCATTATTTTCTTCTCAGGCATGTTCAACATTTCCCAAATGAAGAACAGGCCAATGGTCCTCATTGGTGGGTGACCAATCAGCACGTAAGAAGTACTTAAGTTATGCAAGACGGTTCACAACCTGTAAACAGAGACTAAACATTTTCTAAATGAATAGTAGAAATATGTGCACATTTTCTTTTTAAAAAGCATCATCTGGGGCCCTAACCCTAACCCTTTTGGTACATGCAGATCAAACTAACGTGGAGGTTTCTGAGCTTCCATTCTCCAGTCTGTAAGCGTGAATTTTATTATGTAGCTGTTCCTTGGGGCTCTGTACTTAAACCTTAAGATCTGGTATATTGCTAGAATTAGAAGGATGGGATATAGATAATTTGGGAAATGGGAACAATTAACTACTAGCATTTCCACAGCATGGGAGAACCATGTGGTAAACCATACATTTGGAGGTTTGCCTGTAATTGAATAAGACGTTTGTGGGGGAGAGCAAAGGAAGCTGGATGCAAAGACAGGCTCCTTCCAGCTGGTTTTGGAATGGGAAGTTGGCTGCCTACACACAGCTATGTATCTGGGACTTAAATTCTGTATCTGGGACTTAAATTCCTTACGTCTGGTAAGGCCATGCATTCTGCACCTTGGGAAAAGCGACCACTGACTTTCTCCCTGCAAATAGCATAGTCTTTGTGACTAAGGTAGAACCAGCTTTGTTATGATTTACAGACTACTGCAGGAATATATAGAGCAACTCAGGCAGCTTCCCAAATTAATTTGAAGCAGATTACAAAGTTCCATGAAGATAGCTGTTGTGTGAATCAGTAGAAAGTGGATAGAAGGTCCAAAGTCCAAGAGAGGACCTATAGTGAATGCTATAACAGATAATCAGAGTTGGAAGGGACCTTGTAGGTCATCTAGTCCAACCCCCCCACCCAAGCGGGAAACCCTACACCATTTCTGACAAATGGCAGTCCAATCTCTTCTTGAAAGTCTCAAGTGATGGCGCTCCCACAACTTCCGAGGGCAATTGGTTGATTGTTCTCACTGTCAGAAAGTTTCTCCTTGTTTCCAGGTTAAATCTCTCCTTGTTCAGTTTCCATCCATTATTCCTTGTCTGGCCTACAGGCACTTTAGAAAATAGATTGACCCCTTCCTCCCTGTGGCAGTCCCTCAAATATTGGAAGACTGCTATCATGTCTCCCCTGGTCCTTCTCTTCACTAGACTAGCCAAGCCCAGTTCCGGCAACCGTTCGTTGTATGTTTTAGCCTCCAGTCCCCTAATCATCCTGGTTGCTCTTCTCTGTACTTTTTCTAGAGTCTCAACATCTTTTTTATAATGTGGTGAACAAAACTGGATGCAGTACTCTAGGTGTGGTCTTACTAAGGCTTTATAGAGTGGTATTAGTACTTCCCTTGATCTTGATTGTATCCCTCTGTTAATACAATTTAGGATTGCATTAGCTTTTTGGGCTGCTGCTGCACACTGCTGGCTCATATTTAGCTGGTTGTCCGCTAAGACTTCAAGATCCCTCTCACAGTTACTGCTGTTGAGCCTGGTTTCCCACAGTCTATATGTGTACCTTTGGTTTTTCTTGCCTAAGTGTAGGACTTTATTTTTCTCTACATTGAATTTCATTTTGTTAGATACGGCCCAGTGTTCTAGTCTGTCAAGATCCATCTGGATCTTGAGCCTGTCTTCTTGGGTATTCCTGCCATCTTAGTATCATCTGCAAATTGCAAAATGAGTAAATTGTCTTGTTTTCCCTCTTTTTTTTCTTGAATTATTCAGAGGGTTTTTTTTTTTGTTAAAATACAGTTTAATCTTAATGTTTTCTTTTGATGTTCTCCTTCACATAAACTCATTAGCAGCGTGGAAGGCTTGATGAATTGCAAAAAGACAAAGATTGCATTTAAGACTTCTGCAAAACAATGAATATAGTCTGAAATTCTGTGTTGACATACTCTAGTTGCCCTTGTCTTCATGCAGTCATAAGCTCATAGTCTGTTTATGGGAACAGTCTCTCCTGCCAATCTTGGTATGGATCTTCTCTGCTTCTCATACACTATACAATAGCACTTAGACTTATATACCACTTCATAGTGCTTTACAACCTCTCTAAATGGTTTACAGGGTCGGCATATTGCCCTCAACAATCTGAGTCCTCATTTTGCCGACCTCAGAAGGTTGGAAGGTTGAGTCAACCTATGCTATGAAAATAGTAACTTTCACCGGCACATTGCTACAATTTTATCTCTAAGTATATAATAGTTGGAAAGCAAAGCACAGGGACTCATTTAACAATGGTGTTCTGTTGGGATTACAACACTGCAATTTTCACTCAAAGGCTGTGTTGGTCAGGACTTTGGGGAAATGGAGTCCCAACATTTTGGGAGAATGCCCAGTTTTGTGTAACCTAAAGTTTATTCTCAGATTTGCAAAGGTAGGCAGATTTTTATGTAATGTGTTACAAAATGTACGTGGCAGGTATCCAATGTCTCTGTGGTCTCTAATGGAAAAGGTGGGGGAACCTCGGGTGTGCAAAAAGAATCCGATAAAGAAGGGATCATTTCATAAATTGACTTCAGCAGGCAGAAATCCTATGCAGGAATTCTGTGTTGCTCTTCAAATTACCCCTCTATAAATGCAACTGAGAACTACACAGGATCTTAGAGGTCAGTAGAGTCAATTAAAAACACATTCTGATATACAGTAATAGGGATATATGTATAACATCCACAACAACCTGGCATCTATAAAAGTTCAAAATTAAATAATGCTTTTTAAATTAAATTAAAGTGAGGGAAATTTCACGAGCTTTCCAAATCTCATGATATTTCACGTTTTCCCTTGAAAACTTGGAGATGATATTATCAAAACATGAAAATCCAAGAGAAAGAGGGAGGGAGATCAAGACTCAGAGCCAGCCCTCCTGAGAGTAATAATGTCATTTTGTACAATGGCTGTCAAAAAGATTGTTAACTCCCTATTGTATAAGGATCGGCCATATCTCAAAAAGTTCAGTTCTAAAGAAATACTGGAATATAAGAACTTTGTTCTATTATATAGCTCTTCTTCTCTCTACCCATTAATATCACTTATATGAATTTTTCACAAACGAGTTGAACACATACATGGATGATTTATGTGTACACTCTCACTTCTAGAATTAAGATTGCTTAGTTAAGAACCAAAGTGGAAATTTAAGTTGTCAGCTTTCAAAATTAATTTAGGGTTTGTTCCTTTCAATTGGTTGTTAGGGCTGTGAGAGGAAGAAGTCACCGAAGCTTGCATGGGATTTGTTGCCCAGTACCTCTGGAACAGCTAGCTATATACATTCACAGTGTGAAAATAATGGTGTGAAAGTGGACTTGCTGAATTCTAATCTGTCAAAGAATATAATGTTCTCAGATGGGCACCACATTGTTTTGTGGGGCAGGAAGAAAAAGTGACATGCACAGCACACACTTGATAGGCTGCAATAATTTTAGACAATGGTCTTAGCTGTCTTTGATCAGGGTAGGTTCCCCTCTGCCTTAGTTCCAGCAATTAAAAGTTGTAAGAAAAGGCTCTTGCATTCTCAAAAAAGAAACCAGGGCCATGAACATAGAGATAGACAGAACATGATTATGTTTCTGGGTAAGAAAGAATTTCTGCTGAATCAAAAACAATTCCTGACACCCTAAAGAAATCCTCTGATGGGTGCATTGAGCATCGTTACTTCTTTCTTAGTCTCTTAGCTATTGGAAATAAAATAGAATTGCTACCCTCCCCACCCCAGAAAAAGTCTCATTGCAAACTAAAAGAGGGAGAAGGAGAGGGGGAAACTGTTCTGACCCAAGCCTCGTTCAAATTAAACAAACACAATTTGTGTATAAAAGCAAACCTATTCTAATGCGGCACTGGGAATTCAGTGCATTCCCAGCCAAGAGACATTTAAACCTAATTGTCCAATATCAAAAGCTAACCCTTTCAAGGTTGCAAAAGGCTTCCAAGAACAGAAAACTAATTACTGATTAAATATCCACCGTCAGAAGTTTCAAAAACAAACCAGAGTAAGCAGAGCTTCAACAAGGACTATGAGTCTAAAAACTACTTTGCTTCCTGCAAAGAACACATCCCCGGGGGCTGGTTTTTATCCCTTATGGGAGGGGCATCACTTTCCAGCCTTACTCCCAAGTCGCCCTTGCTGCTTCAGCTACTCTTTCCTTCGAGCAGCCCTGCGCACAGGTGCACTTGGCACAGGCTCCCTGGAGTCTTCTGTGTCACTGCTGCCAGACTCCACAAGCTCTGAAGGCAGCACCCCACTCTTTGATAGTCCTGGCCCCATCCCTGCATCACACGCAGGCCCCTCGTCCGAATCCTTGCTATCAAAGATCTCTGCCATCCGCACCTGCTGCCAGCGAACCACTACAGAAACCAAAACTTTGTAAAGGTGCACATCATTAAAGAGAGATTTGGCTACTTCTTCCCATCTCACTTTCCTTTTTCCTCTCTTGTATCTAAAAAGCATGCCTTCCATTATGTTTTTAGAAAATCGCCTTTTAACTTGGTCCTTGGCACTAGGCTCTGGCATGGCCATAGCCAAGGGATTAATGAGTGGAAGCTGATTCCCAGTAAGCTTGGAACTGAAATTGACCCAAATAAAGATAACAGATTGAGGAAGGAATTTACAAGCTCTTGGCAGCACTAGGCCAAGCGTGCCTCTTGTTAATGTGGCCAGAGCTGGCAGTTGCAAAGAACTGCTTTTAACTTCTGGGTATGACAATGGAAAAGTAGTTATGGTCTCTGGAAATTTTGTCTGTACTTTACAACCAAGAAGCCACATCTTGGATTAGGTGTACTGTAAAAGTTTACAGTGTCGGGGTAAACATTACTGTACAGGTAGTCCTCAACTTACGATAGTTTGTTTAGGGACCATTCAAAGTTACAATGGCACTGGAAAATGTGACTTATGTCTGTTTTTGTAGCATCCCCATGATCATGGGATCAAAATTCAGAGGCGTGGCAACTGGTTCAAATTTATGACCATTGCTGTGTGTCCTGGGATCATGTGATCCCCTTTTGCAACCTTCTGACAAGCAAAGTCAATGCAGAAGCCAAGTTCACTTAACCATCAGGTTACTAACTTATCACCTGCAGTGATTCACTTAACAAGAAGTGGCAAGAAAAGTCATAAAGTGGGGCAAAACTCACTTAATAAATTTCTCACTTAACAACAGAAATGTTGGGCTCAATTTATGGTCATAATCCAAGGACTACCTGTACTTATTTTAGATATAATTGAATGAAATGCAGTTTTGTGCTTGATGATATAACCTACTCTTACACTTCCAAAGTGGTTCAGGAATGGAGGTGTGTGTTTGTGTGGAGCTCAGAGAAAGGGACAGGTATAAATAAAACATCCCTGAACAAATGATTATTTTACACTTTTGTTATGGAAGGCAATCTGTTCAACTGTTGAATAACTCCTTTCTATTAGTAAGAGCCTTAAATCTTTTTTTTAAACTCCCATTATTCATAGTACTGCCCTCAAGAACAGTATGGTAGTATATTTGCTGTAATTTCAGCAATTTGAAAGCTGTTCTCATGTTTGCCTTAATTTTCTGTTCTCTGTTCTGCCTTTTTCAGCCATTCTTTATTTGTTTGATAATATCTGGGTATACTTTTAGAATCTGTATAATTCATAGCTTTAAAATTCTAGGCTTTTTGTGCAAGGGATTTTTAGTTGGGGAAGGATTCTGTGGTCATTAATGACTCTGAAGTTGCTTTCTAGGGATGTACCAAAATGTTTCAAATTAGAAATACTCCATTGTTTCGAGTTCACAATGGCTTGTTCTAACCATCCAGGAGTCAAAATACTTCCACAATGGACTGCTCTATCTTGAATTTGAATAATCTATCTTGAATTTGAAGCAGGAGGTTTTCAATTGAAATATTATGCACGCCCTCTACTATTTTCTAATTTATTAACTAATACACCTCAGAGAGATAGATTTTCCTACTTCCATTTTAAAGGACAAATTAAGACAGCTCAAAATTATAGAGGAAGGGATTTTGCGGGATAGTATCTGACTTATATTCTCCGTCAGCAAGAAATCCTGTTTGGGTTTTTCATGGACAGATAAGAAAACGCTGTCCTTCAAATTTTGGTGGGATTTTGTGTGTGGGTGTGGTTTACTATTTTATAGTTAGTATCGCACTTTTATTGTCATGTGTCACCTAGAGGTGTGCTTAAGACCAGCAGCCATACAAATATTTTAAATAGATAACCACTGTGTCACCACTATGTATGAGTGAGCCCTGTCTACTGCTTTTCAATTAGAGTGGAAGGTAAGCAGCAAGCTTTTTAGAATGGCTTCAGAAGCCCTAATTCCATCAAGAAACATAGCAGTATCTGTATAAGTCCTGTATTTGATTGCTTATATGGTTTCTGGATAAGGTGGAATTCTGGAACTGGATTTCTGCCAGCTTTGGAAGTTATCATTGGATTTCTAAACTGAACACATCCATTGCCAACTTGGCCTTTCATTTCCCTTGGATTATTCCCATGCTGCGTATACATATTGCACTTGAAGTACCCAAGTTTTTTTTTTCCAAATACAGATTGCCATGTAGTATAGAGAGAGTTGTTATTCAAGAATCAGTGCCAAGTCCTATCCAAGGCCAGAATTAACATAGTCCTTTGAATTATGGGCAACTACTTTCTAACAACTGATAAGAATGCTGGAAAATTTAAGAAAGGATTCCTTATTCAGAAGGGTATTTTTAGAAGGTTTATTTTTCTCTCTGTGCTTTATGGGAATTTGTAGAACACTGCATAAAATCAACAGTAGTTTTTCTCTTCTAACATCGACTTGTGTTGCTTTCCTCCCCCCCTCTCCCCATTCCCAGAAGCAACATCAAGGTCATTTCCACTTCTCCAAGATGCCCTGGAGGACCAAGCAAATTTGAAAGATTGGGGCCTCAGACAAGGGCAATGCCTGACACTGAAAGAAAGTTTATTCAAACAGATGGGGAAAAAGTTTAAAACAAATATGTTTACAGGACACCATGCCTTGCCAGGATCTTACTCAGCACGACAGCTTGCATCAAGGATTTCACAAACTCAGCTCAGTAGCAATTGCTTTCTTCAGAAGACTTTGAGCTGCAGCTTGAATGACAAGTGCCTTTGGACAGGAATTCCTCTCCCCAAACAGGCTTCCCATGTGACTCGAGACATTTGTTCCAGGATGGTAAGCCAAGCAGAGAAGGGCTGGAGATCTCTTTCAACTTCCAAATGTCTTGGTGCCTCTGATTGTTTAACCCACGTTGACCGAGAAGGCCAGGTATCAATGGTAGATGTTGGAGGGAAGCCAGATTCAGAAAGGATTGCAGTGGCTTGTGCTGTGGTCCATCTGGGTGCAAAGGCATTTAACTTATTACAACAGAACCAAATTAAAAAAGGTGATGTGCTTGCAGTGGCCCAGATAGCGGGAATCCAGGGAGCCAAGCTAACAAGCCAGCTCATTCCACTGTGCCATAATGTTCCATTGAACCTGGTTGAGGTTACTCTCAGTCTGGATGCAGAAAAACATACTGTTACCATTCAGGCTCTGTGCCGCACCCGTGGAAAAACTGGGGTGGAGATGGAAGCGTTGATGGCTGCCAGTCTTTCTGCTTTAACAGTGTATGATATGTGCAAAGCAGTGAGCCATGACATAATCATTGAAAATGTAAAACTCCTCAGCAAGCAAGGAGGCCAGAGGGGTGACTTTAAGCGAGACTGATTAAAACCTTTTATTCAAGAGATCAATATACCTTATTCCTGGAATACAATTTTAACAGCAGTGTCTCCAGTACTAGTAACCAAAATTCTGGCCATTAACCTTACTAAATCATAATCTGTTGTTTCTTTTGTTTTGGCTAATAACGTAGGCCTAAGTCTACTGTTTACCTGATTTCTTTCATGTAGCAACTGAGCTTTTTGGCTTTAAGTTCTAAGCTCTCCCACTGCTCTGATTTGCAGTCATTCTAAGGATACATGTGTTTAGCCCTTTATTTCTGATTTTGTGCAAAGTTCTGCTCTTCCATCTCCTTTTAATTGCACTAAAATATTCATCCAGCCGGATTTCAACATGAATCTTCTGTTTGAGGATATTCAGATCCAGATGAATTCCTAGATGAATTATGATTTTAATATTCTGTCGTATCCAAACACTGGAAAATACAAACTGTGAGTCACCTGGATCACTCCCAACTAGACTAAATATGATTTTGAATAGTAGTTTAGTTTCAATTTGTCTTTCAAAATGGAAGGTAAATATTTGTTGGTTAGGAATAGTTACAAACTAATCTATATACAGTTAAAAATACTGTATAAATTTCTCTTTAATCTGGATGAAAAAAAATGGTAGTTCTATAAATAGTATGCTCTTTTACCTGAGGTCAAATACAACCCTGGTGCAACTCACAACCCTCAATGAAATTGAATTTGACCCCCCTGGTCTAGGGTAAATCTCTCTTCTTCAGAAGCCCATGCCCAAAAGAAAATATGCTCTGGGTATGTCTAAACCTGACTGGCATGAGGGGATGGAAAACCGAATGTCAGATTTGATGCTTTCCTTTCATAACACAATAAATAAATAAGCAAACAATCTTAAACCCCTAGATGTTCAAGCCCATTAACATTGAAGTGGATATAATTCTTTGTAAGTAAGGCACTGGGATTGAAACAAATAGGACAAAATATCCTACGTTTCTGGCCACAGATGCAGTTTTGTTATTATTTTAAAATTTTCTAATCCATTTTTCCCCTGCCTAGAAAACTTGCGGATTCAAGACCCTTTAGACACCAACCAAAGTATTTTAATTCTGAACATCATTGCTTTAAAACTCATCAATAGCATTTTAAATGAAAGTAGTATCTTTTCCTGCACTTCTACAGTATTAGGAGATTACAGCTTGAGGCTCATTTTGCTAATACTCCTCCTGCTGTATATGCTCCACATGCATCTACATAGCAAATGCTCTTTCAAGTAGGCAAAAAAAGAAAGGTTTTATTCAAGGCATTTAGAGTTTATGCAGGGGACAATCAGTATTATCCTTTCACATAATAATGCTCAGAAGTCAATTTCAAGGAGAGGTAATTTTGATTCTCTGAATGAAAGACCAAGAGATGAATAATATAATAAAATAACAGTGGCACCAAGAGACATTTCTGCACAATCCCATTAAAGGTTGGGATTTCTCAGATTAAATGACCTTCAGCTTTACATCTGATTTTCAAACAGGTTTTTTCATGAAACTTATAAGGGACAGATTGTGCTATCTAGTAATTTACTTAAAGTATTAAATCAAAAGCAATTTTGAAACCAATCAAGTGCAAATCACATAAGGTAATGTTTGGAATCCAACCATTCTCAGCAAGATGTGATAAAACCTGGTCCATGTAGAACAGACTGGATAAAAAGTGCTTGTTCTATAATTTTTTGCACTTTAATAAGTTCAAAAACGATCAGAAAGAAGTGCCTACATTTTGCTTATTGTGCTTAAAGGATAATTGAAAAGTGACTCTTTTCCACATTTATTTTTAGTTAATCAAATAATTATCACAATTTCCTGGAATTGGGGAAATAAATTATGAACGTAAATAGCCCCAAGTGGCACTCGCCACTCTAGCCTGTTTTTCATTGCTTCGACTGGAATAGAAACATTGGTTCTTGATCTAGGATAGAAAGTTGATGGGAGAATTCTTCCATTGGCAGTGTGGCTGTCATATAAACCCAAGGGCAGACTGAGTTGTTTGCTTGAAAAAGAGAGGGTTCTTCCCAGTACACCAAAGGTACATAGAAGGAAAACCAGAATGTAACAACTTTTGCATTAGCTTTAAATAGTTCCATATAGAAGTATAGTTATTTTTTCCCATTTTTTTCCTTAATAAATCTAATCCAAGGTGAGCAGTTTTTACATTCATCCTTCACTGGCAAGGTTGATTACCACTAGAGAGTTTGGACAGTACAAATAACCCTTGAGTTACCACCATCTTTCATTGCAAGAAGGGATGTGTTATTCAGAGAATGGCGTGAGCCGTCTCAAGAAGAGGCTGCCTTCATAGGGCCAGGCCTTGTCAGCAGCAGGACAAAAGTAGCTAGGCTCAGGTGGGCCCAGCAGTACCTGCAAAGTGCAGGTAGATGGAGGGCACTTGAGGCGGCACTTCTTGGTAGCAGTGATAGCGCTGGAGTTAGAGTTGAGACCCAGAGTTGGGGATGGGAGCAGCCCCAGTGCCACCACTGCAACTGAAGAGGGCCTCTGTGCAGGGCTGCCAAAAGGGCAGAGATGGGGGGAAGGGGAGATTAAGGGTGGGAGATTCAAGAGGAAGCAGCCTGTTATCAAGGCTCAAGGTTGGGAGCAACCAAGCTAGGAATGGCTTGGATCTGGTGGTCACCCTCACCTAAGACCAGTGGCATTCAGTATGGCAACAGAGAGTCCTGGGATTACCATCACTAAACTATGGTCACATGACGTTTTGTCTAATGGCCACATTGCTTACTGACAGATATTCCAGCCCTAGTTATTGTTGAATCTTAAAGACTAGTTATAAAGCAATGTCAGAAGTTTTTAACCACAACCAATTAGTTAGTAGTTCAGCAGTAATTTCAAGATTGGGAGTTGGTTCCCCATCTTTCTCTGATGTGTAATTTTAAAATATGGTATTTCCATAAAGCTGTAAAGATGGGACAATCGTGAACATGTCTAATGTCATGGAAAGAAAGTCTGGTGAGCATTCACCAGAATAAGGCAAAATAATACCTAGAGCAAAAACGACTTGATCCCAAATGCATTGGTTGCCTTCTTTCTGATTATTAAAAGCTTTGTAAGATTTCTGTTGTTGAAGCAATTCATAAACCATAATGGACAGTCATTCAGTTCCATTTGACATTTCTGAAAGGGCTTAAAAAAACCTCCCCACTTTTCTTTTTAATTCCCAAAACCATAGTCAAACCATTGGTTATGTCTCCATACAACCTTCTGTCAGTTTCTTGGTTTGAAAATCATCAACAGAAAACATGGATTGAGGAGAGCAATTTAAAATGAACATATGTGTGAAAAATCAACTTTTTCTTGCTATTTGATTTTTAGATTGTATTGTAAATGCCTTACAAAGGAAAACAAACTTTAGGGAAGAATGTCCCAAGTTTGGAAAAGAGAATGAAAAGAATACTCTCTTGGGGCTGAAAATGGACAACTTTGTAGAATGCAATTTATTTTTTCCTGCAGTTGGACTTTTCACACTGTCTCCAAATAAAAATAGTCTCTCTCTCCAGTTGTTTGTATAATTCATAAACTACTGTTTGCACCAAATGGTATTCATTGATTAAATTCTCCTCATTCCATCAAATAGTATTGTTCGATTAAATTGTTATTGCATAAGTTTATCTGTTGTATACAGAATGTCAGTTGAATTACTTAGTAAGAGCAATAGTTCAAGTTTATACTTGACAAGAGGCTTAATCACAGGCTGATTGCTGTGGTCACTCCTTGTTTCTTCAATTGCAGAGGTTAGTATCAAGATGCCATTTAATGGAGACTACTGATCAGCAGACTTTTTTTAAAAAATAACCATAATTTGAGAAGTTCATATGCTTGTGTGATATCTCACAATATTTTGGCTGGATGAACTGTTTTGTTTTAAATTTGATTTAATGTACATATTCTGGCTCCTAGGCCAAATTGTGATGTATTACTTCAGCCTGAAAAGATTGTTGGCGCTATCTCTTGATGTCTCTTTAGAGTTGTTTCTGTGCATCTGGGTAATTTTAGCTATAAGATTTTAGCTTTTGCCTGAATGTGCCTGATTTTTAAGAAAATTGTTCACCAAATTTCAATTTTGCATGAGAGCAGAAAACAGAAAATGGCTATAGATACAGACAGATCTGATGTATAGTCCTTGTTATTCCATCTTTTAAGTCTTTATGAATTGAATGAAGTATGTCATATTTGTCCTTATCAGGGAAGGGAAATGATTTGTTGCTGCTTCACATTGCTATGTATTTTCCTACATGTCCTGTATATGGTGAAAAGTAATAACACATTTTTTATAAATGCACTTGATAAGAAGCATAGGAAATGTGTAAATATGAAGCATATCATTAGATTTTGGTTCCTTCCTGTAGTATCAGAGAACATCAAATGTCTCGAGATCATTGAATCTTATAGAAGTCCCTGATGATGTGAGAAATTGTTCTGCACACATTCCTGTGATGCGTGCAATAAACAAGAATGCAACTGTTGGAAAGATGTTTTACTTGTTTTCTCTGCAGCAGTAACATGTTCTAACCTTACAGGATGATGGTTTGTCTAGGAGTGTCCAAGCACTGTTAAAATCTTAATACATTTTGCTTGACTACTATTCAGCCATTCAGTCTGTAATTTAATGTAAACAGCAGATACTTAAACTAAAAAAAATGTATCTTTTCTGAAGTTTGGTTTTTCATGCATAAATATAGTGACCTAATGTATACTTAAAGGGCTTCAGAATTAATTTTATTGAAAGAAAACTCAGAATTTACAATGATTCAGCATGCATTGTGTTACTTTCTGAAAAATCTGTGCCCTGATAAGAGGGTTTTTAGATAGGCTTGTTTTAAAAAGTTATAACCTGCCTGTTAGTGAATAGATGGGATCTCCTTCTTGTGGTTTTGGGAAGGTAGTCCTAATTTTTCTTGCTTATATTCAAACAGAGTAACTAATGATGTTTTTTCGAATGTTTTCATTATGCGTCTATATAATAATTCCTGGATATACGCACAAATGGGAATGGTTACTGGGTAAATGAAAAGTTTATGCAGATTTGCTGAGGTTGTACTAACAATGTTCTTTTAAAATAAATAAATAACACTTGCACACAGTGGAAGGGCGTGTGAATTTATTTATTAGAATATGCACTCTTTGTAGATAAGGGAGTCCATTCAAGGATGGTTTCAGCAGAGGAGAATTCTCAGGTTCCACGATATTACAGTTTCTTGTATAAAACTGGGCAAAATAGTTAATTGAATAATAATGCAGTGCATGAAAAATGGATTAATGATTGGTGAGTTAAAATATGGGTTTTGAAGGACATAATGTCAAAGGAAGTTTGTTTGATGAATAAAAAATGTAGTTTTATTTGTATACAAAATTAAAAATGCCTATCTTTTTAGACATTTGTTTTAGAAAACATTGAAAGGGAAAGCATGTTAGTGTATTTTAGGAAATGGAAAAACCATTGATAAACCTGTATTTCATTAATTACATTAAGAGAAGTGGCCTAAAAAATCTTTTCAGTTAAATCAAAATTGTATTATCACAAAATCTATAAGTACTTTGAATTTGTTCTGTCTATGTGGATTACCTGGGAATGTATTTTGCATCTGGGAATTATCCATGTAGAATACCTGGGAATGTATTTATATATATATATATATATATATATATATATATATATACAGGTCTCTTCCAACTCTGTCATTCTATGTTCCTGTTAGCTAATATATCAGAGAAGAGGAAACGACAAAAGGAAGGCCATCTTCTTGTGTCCCATAACAAATGATCTGAGTTAAAATTCCAAGGTTTTCTAATAAAACCATGAAATGGAAACAATTTTAGGCTGATGTTAGTGTTGCTGTTGGCTCACTAGGACTGTTAATGGAAGAATTTTTTTAAAAAAAGAAGGTATATAGATGGTTCTTCTAGTATTGATTCAAAGCTAGTAAGAGCCATGGTGGCACAGTGATTAGAATTCAGTATTGCAGGCTAACTCACCGCTCACTCTCAGGATTCTGAGAGTGTCAAGGTTGATTCTGCCTTCTGCCATCATTCTGAGGTTGGTAAAATGAACACCCAGATTGTTGGGGACAATATGCTGACTCTAAACCACTTAGGACTATAGGACTGTAAAGCAGCGGTCCCCAGCCTTTTAGGCATCAGGGACCAGTTCCGTGTGAGAAAGCTTTTTCCACGGACTGGAGGGGTATGTGGTGGTTTGCATGCTATCTGCCTCCCATAGATGGGGCTTTGTTTGTTTGCATGGCATGCCGCAGAGTACTGCCAGTCTACGGACCGGGGATGGTAACCCCTGCTGTAAAGCACTATGTATGTAAGTCTAAGTGCTATGGCTACTGCTTCCTTATGCCTTTGGAGAAAAATTATCTTATTAAACTCCTGGGGTGGAGGAAGGAAAGCTTCTGCTTCTTCTACCTCAGAAGCTAGGGCTCTTTCATCCCCTTTAGAGAACTCTGGGCTGATGCCATTTGCTTTAGGAAAGCAAATGCCTTTCCATTCAAGAGTTAAGCTTTAGTAATATCTGCTTCTGCAGCCAATTCTTCAGCCATGGTGCTGAAGAGAAATATTATAAGCTATATCTGTGTGTGGCATTGGCCGTTGGTGGAAATTGGCATTGGAAAGAAAACTGGAGGGTATCCTTCACAGGCTCTAAGTAATAAACAGTTGAGTAGAGGTGATAACTCTATCTACCCACAAAGTCTCATGTCTCCTATTGTGGCTGGCAATTCAGGAGACACTGCATATTTTGTCCAAATTTAATTCCACTTGTGGTTGGTGGAAAAGGCAAAATGTTGCCAAAGGCTCCGTGCTGTTGGGTTCACAGAGAATTCATGCAAAGCTCAGTTATTCTTATTGGCAGAAAAGGCCAGAGCCAGGAAAAGCATGCAAATCTTCTAGTTTGGTGTGGTGGGTGGAGTCAGCAGAAGAAAGGTTGAATTTATTTAAAAACACAAGTGGTTGAATTAGATGTGGAGCTGTGAAGATAAAAATTCCAGGAGGGAAAAAAAAATCCCACATGTTTAATTCCAGCAAGGTGAAATGAGACTGAATTTGGAAGACAACTGATACTCCTGGATGAGGTCATACACCTCTGTGCAGAAGAGTGCTACATAATCTGAGAGCCAAGCCAACTGCTGACTGAGGAGCAGGTGACAGTTGTGTTCAGGAAGGACAATATGCAACTCCATCTTGTGTGCCAGTTGCATCGAATTCTGGCTCATGAAACACTTACAGTCACACATGCCCTAATTACCTTTTGGTCAGACTGTTGCCAATGTATATAGTGGTCTATATTATTAAAACACTGGTGTCCATTTGATACTTTGTAACATTCAATTGGAGGAAACACTGCATCATAGAATGTTAAACTTTGTCAACAAAGGTACCT